AGCGGCCATGGCTCACGGGCCCAGCCGCTCCGCGGCATGTGGGATCTTCCCGGACCGGGGCATGAACCCGTGTCCCCTGCATCGGCAGGCGGACCCCCAACCACTGCGCCACCAGGGAAGCCCTCTCTTTATATATTCTGGATATGAGTCTTATAGGCTTACCTTCTCACTTTCTTCATGAATCAGAAATGAACAGAACAGAAAATTTTTTTGTTGAACAGAAACTTAAAATTTGTTTTGAGTAAGTTAATTACATATTAGTAGATGCTGCTAATGATAAAAGACTGAATCATTATAGGAATTATTTCCTTTGGAATATTAATTCCTACATTATTTTTTTCAACTTTTATTTTTTAATTGTAGAGATATTCTTAATTTTAATGAAGTCCAATTTATCAATCTTTTCCTCTATGAGTTTTGCTTTTTGTATCTTGTTAAGAAAATGTTGTCTATCCTAAGGCTATAAGGATATCCTTTTTTGTTATTTTCTAGAAGCTTCATTGTTGAACTTTCACAAGTTAGGCCTGTAGTCCCATCTGGGATTGACTTTTATGTATGGTGTGAGGTTGGGGCGACCATTGCTTTTTCTCCATTCAGCTGGATCATCTTTCCTCCATGCATTGCAGATGTATGTTTATTGTAAACTGGGTAACCACATGTATGAGGCTCTGTTTCTGAACTCTGTTCTACTGGCTCAGTGAATACTTCAGGGACGAATGGTGGATGTCCTGGGCCTCACATGCTCCTCACGAAGATGGAGGTTCTGAACTCTTGCTTTCTGAGGAGATCCTGTGCTTCCTCTGCTGAATCATTTGGTTTTTCTCTGCCCTTTTCTGACTTCTTCCAATAGACACAATTAATTGGCTGACAAAATTATCAAGATAGCAAAGGCTTCCATAACATTTACCAGGTCCTGTTCTAAATATGCTTGAATTCATTTAATCTTTACACAAACCCTTGATGTAGTCACTATTGTTATCCTCATTTTCCTGATGAGAAAATTAGGGCCCTGAGACCACATGGGTGGCATGTACCAGACATGGAATTTGAACCCAGGGATTCAGCCTTGGAGTCCATGTTCCTAAGCACAGCACTGGGCTTTCTTTCCACCAACAGCAGGAAGTAAAGTGGTGGAGGACAGAATCACCCTGGCCTCGGAATGAAGACATCTGAGCTCTTGTCTTGGCTTCTACGCCTATTGGATGGGAGGTTTTGGACACATTCGTTAATCTACTTGAACCAGTTTCCTCAACTAGAAAGTGAGAGAGTAAAATGATATTTTCAGCTCTGACATTTTACAATATCATCTCTCTGGAAGATTCCTAGAGAGACTGTGGATTTTTTGGAGAGAAGACTATTGTACAATGGAGACTAGGGTGGAGGCACAGATTGGGGAGGAGCCCAGAGAGAGTGGTGAGAGCCGGGTTGGGGGGAATAACGAGTTAGGGAGGTGGGGGGAGTGGGAGAGGGAGAGGAGGGAATGTCTCAGCCCTCCAACCTGTCTCTTCCCATCTGCTTATCCCCTTCATGGACCCTCAGATCCAGCCTATCAGATTACATGATGGTGGGGGTGGTGATGCCTAGGTGCTAAGTTTTCTAATTGACCCGCCTTCTGGGAATTTCTTTGAGAGGCTCCTGTTTGTTCCCAAGGCCATGGTTCCTGTGTGAGCCTCCTGGGGGGCAGTTTCTCTGCCCAGAGCTGGCTAATTGTTCACCCACCGTGTCCACTCACTGGTGAAAATCACACCAGGCTCTTCCATGTAGACACCAGAGGTCCATGGGGGTGTCTCGTGACCTTGGGGGCCCTCATAGCCCGAGGCTGGGGGCCTGGGAACAGTCAGTCTTTTATCATTAACTTCTGGACAGTGACATTGGTGGTGGTAGTGGGGGTGGGGGAGAGGAACGGTTAAAAGATAACTTAGAAATGTCACACAAGGAATATATGCTATTTTTAGACAAATTTAGAAAATTCAGATACACACAAAAAAGAAAACCAAGAAAGTGATCTGTAATCACTTAATCCAGAGGTAACCACTATTAACATTTTGGCAGTGATTTCTTTAGAAGTGTTTTGGATATTTCTGTTTCTCTCTTTCTTTGTAGATCTTTATCTCTGTGTGTATGACATACATATATATCTTTTTATAAAAATGGGTTACAGTCTTCTGGAGCTAGATTTTTAAATTTGGCAATATATCATAAGCATTTCTTCAATCACTCAACATATTTTATCATCTTTAACAGCTGCATGACAAGCCTTAGGTGATAGTTTCCCATCTTTGTTATTATTCGTTGTGAACATAATTTTTTTTTTTTTTTTTGCGGTACGCGGGCCTCTCACTGCTGTGGCCTCTCCCGTTGCGGAGCATAGGCTCCAGACGCACAGGCTCAGCGGCCATGGCTCACGGGCCTAGGCGCTCCGCGGCATGTGGGATCTTCCCGGACCGGGGCACGAACCCGCGTCCCCTGCATCGTCAGGCGGACTCTCAACCACTGCGCCACCAGGGAAGCCCCGTTGTGAACACAATTTTTCATGCAGTTTTGAACATATTTCCTTAGAAAATTTTTGAAAATATTAGAATGAATATGTCCCAGTGATTTTTGAAAGATAATAAAGTTAATACTGTCCTCATCATTATCAATAAACATTTATATAGTACCAATAACAGTAATAATAATTTTTTAATTGAAAGCCTTATAGATTACCAACTCTCTCAGTAGGTCATCTCATTTAATTTTCTGAGAGGTTCTATTAGGTTCATTTATTCCCATTTTACAGCTGTGAAAATTGAGACCTTAGGAGGGGAGATGACTCCCCCAGGTCACCCAATTGAGCAGGGCAGGGACAGGAAGTATGTCTGGGCTCCCTCCTCTCCGCTGGGCTCCCTGCACCCAGCAGGGCATGTGAGGCTGCCCAGAATGAGGCCTCCGCTCGCTCTCCAATGCTCTGGACAGGACGGGAGATTGGTGCCTGCAGATGGGCTGAAGATTGACATCTGTCAAAGGAGGACCCCAGGTAACGCCTGCTGGGGCTTCAGAGCAGCCTTCCTGGAGCTGAGCCTTAAAGCAGGGAGAGAGGGAGCCACAGAGAAGCACAGAGAGCATGCCAGGCAGGTGGGGGGGGGGGGCATGGTGTGAGCAAAGGGGTAAGTCAGGGAAACCCGACACCCTCCCTCCTCTCGCTCATGTCCCTGTGCTGAGATCAGCTTACCAGAGGCCTGTTCTAGCACCTTTGCCAGACACTGACAGCGAATGTGTAGTGTCACAGGCAACGGGATAATAATGGAAATTAAATTTTTTGTTAAGCAGCCTTGTATATGTTTAAATCATTTCATTATACAGATAGAAATGTTTTTCTGATTTCTTCTTTTTTCCTCAAAATGGTAGTAGCCTTTGCCTGATTCTAAGAATGATATCTATTCAATGGTAAAGAGTAAAATTTTACACAATACAGACAAGCGTAAAGATACAAAAAAAGGCAAGAAGCAGACCCACCCCATCCTGAGGTAACTGCTTGGCGTCTGGGCTTCCAGACTCTCTCTGGGCCCACAGATTCATGGGGGATTTTCCTTGACAGTTTTACATAAGTGGGACGGAGCCAAACACACTCTTCTAGTGCATGTTTTCTCACTCAGCAATCTGTCTTGGACACCTTCCCCTGTCATTACGTATGGATTTCCATCATTATTTTTATTTATTTTTGTAGAGTCTGACTTACATTAATTCAAAAAGGTCAAATTGCCGGTGTATAAAATGTTGATTAAGGTGCACAGAAATCGGGGTTTAACTCCTCTCAAAATCACAAGGGCTTTGTCAGCTCTGGTGGCCCATGAACAAGGGATCTTCCTGTTTATATTTTTTTTATGTTTACTTTTTTTTAATTAGGCAAATTTTCAAACTACTTAAAAGAAGAGAGAATAGTGCAAGGAACTTTCCAATACCCATCACCTGGATTCAACAATTATCAAGATTTTGCCGCATTTGCTTTATCAATCCTTTTTTATTTTATTTTTTGCTGAAATATTTTAAGGCAAATCCAGTTACCTTGTTATTTTAGCCCTGCATCCTTTAGTATGCATTGCTCAAAAAAAAAAAAAAAAGATATTTTCTTATGCAGCGACCATGGCTTTCTTTTCCAACCTTCTTCCCTCCATCCTTCTTCCCTTCCTGTCCTACTTTCTAGGTAAGAAGTCTTAAACAGGCAACCTCATCTAGCTAGATTATAATATGATTTCTTTGTATTGCGGTTACTTTTACCTATGGTAACTGACACTAATATTCTATTTAGGATAGTGTAGTATTTTTTTTTAAAGACAATACATTTATTTGAATAAAATGAATGGACAAGTTTAAAGAAAAGCCATGGAAAGGGTGACAAGCAAATACAACAACCCTTCCAGAAGGGTTGAGAATGGAAGATGCTGCTTTAGCTCATCATCTTCTGAAGGGCATTTAGAGTGTTTCCAGTTTTTCCACTACTAAAAACAATGCTGCAATGAATAATCTTATATATGCATACCTCTGGTGCTGTCTGGTTATTTTCTTAGGATGTACGCTCTAGAAGCAGAACTGCTGGTTTTACAGGCTATGAATCTCTTAAAAAGCCATGGTTTCCTAACCAGAGCGTGCTGTACTTAATTTAATATTTTGTTCCTGTTTTCATTTCCTGGTGACTCAGGGTCATATTGACGTATCCGCAACCGTGCCCTGATGGTCTTAGACCTTCTGCACTTCTTCTGCGCGTCTCCAGGCTGTGATGGTGAAGCTTTTGCACCCACATTTCATAGTGTTTCTGTCTCATCCTTTTCAGTAAATTTTCCTTTGTCGTTCTCTGCCCGCCTTTTAATTTGCTTCTTCTCAAGTACTGGGAGCTGGAACAGATAAACAAGTTTGTGCTGATTGCACCTATATCAAGGGTAAAAGGACTCTCAGTAAGGGTCTGATGGGACAAACATGAGGCAAGAGTTTTCTTAGGTCCTGCCCATTCCACTTCCTTTTAGATCTATCCTGCTTCAGATCTCAACGGCGCTTTGAAGGGTGGCCGCTGGCGATGGTAATGGGAGTTACTGCTACTTAACGGCAGATAAAGTGACGAACGGAAGGTATCGTGGATCCCTTGTGCTCCCATAGAGATTTTTCAGGATACAGCATGGATTTGCTACTTACCTCCCTCCATCCTTACAAGCATTTGGACGTAGCTGGAGTCAGCCTTACGACCTCTGTGGAGGAGGGCTCTGGGCTTCACAGAGACCAGATGATTTTCCAACGGCCACGCCGCTGGCTTATGGCAGAGCTATGACTCGAATTTTTTCTGCTTACCACCTGGGCCAGGTGCACCTGGGGGCTTGAATAATGGGTGTTTCTAGGAAGAGTGATGCTAATAGCAAAGAACCAGCACGTCATGCGGCACTTGCCCAGCCAACACGTGGACAAGGTCCAGGGACTGGGACAGACAGATTCACGGCAGTTCGACTTCTAGGGACAAGGCTTTTACGTGTCTCGAGATGTCCTCAGCCAGAAGGACAGCTGGGCAGGAGTGGGGGCCAAGGACGCTACGTCCTCGTTACTGCTCAGCCTCCTGGCTGTGGAAGAAGGAGCAGGGCCCCAGGGGTCCCCGAGGTGGGTTCCAGAGCCTTCCCGGCTGTGTGCCCTGGGCCAGGAAACACCCCACCTCTAAGCCTCTGCTGAAAAGAGGGGCTCAGACCCAGATCAGGGGTCTTCTAACTGCAATCCTGGGGAGGCCACCCCCCTGCACCTCTCCAGGTACCTCAGTCATTGAAGAGGCTCTATTTTTTGTTTTTAATTCTTCAGACTTATTTGGAAGGATTCTGATGCCAACATTTTTCTGAACAGTTGACCAAAATGATCTCGCATGTTTCACTCTCATCTGCTGCTGAGTTTCCACCCCTGGGTCATGGTACTTCCCCACCCCACACTGACATTAACCAGCCCTTGGAAGACTGCCCTGGATGCTACCCCCGCCTCGTCCCCTCTGCTTCATTCTGCCCATCCCGCTTCCTCAGTTTCCCTTTTAGCCCCTGGTACCATCCTGCCCCCGCTCAGTTGCCTGGTCTCCTCACTGGCCTCACCCCTGCACTCAGCCCTCCATGTGGTTGTGTTCACTGCCAGCGGGAGAAAGCCCAAGACATCAGGCGTTCCAGACCCTTCGGTCCTGCCCTCTCCTCTGTGTCTAACCCAGGGGACGGTTTCCCGGTTTCTGAACTCTGCTTTCTCTCATGCATTGGGATGCAAGGTTCCCTGTGCCCGGAGCTCTCTTTCAGGCCCTTGTCATCTTGGAGCCACTGGACTCATCCTGAAGACTCAGCTCAATTGTCATGTCCTCCGTGAAGCCTCCTGCAAGCACCCGCCCCAGCTGATGAGTCACTTCTGTGTCCCTGCAGCTGCTGCTAAGATCTGTCACACCAATCCTCCAGGCCTGGTTCCCTGCTCAACCCCAGGCTTCTCAGGGTCTGGGATTTAAAACTTCACCCCAATCACAGATGTTCGGTGTTTCTAGCAAACCTGAGCTCAGCAAATGCTTGTTGAATGAACAGATGAGTTTCCTCTGCAGCCGGGCCCTGTGCCAGGTATGGGGGGCTTGCACCTCACCATTTGGACCCTGTGAACCTGTAGATCCTACCTTGTCGACCCCTAGAATTCTCTGACCGCAGCTTTATGAGCACAAACTTTTAAAAAATACAGAATTATACAAAATCAGATGTATTTACAACTGACAGATTAGACACACTCCGTCAAGCCAGTTTAGTGGATTGATTACTTTTCTATAGAACATGGTTAAACGGGTCCTGATTTTTGTCCGTTTTTATCAGTATTGATTCTTTTCCAGGTAGATTTTATAATGAATATTTGCTTCACTGACCGATTTTTTTTGTCCCTCATAAAGTTTTACAAATTATAGCAGTTTCTGTTGTAATTTTCTTTTGTGGGTGTTATTTTTACCCAATCCAGGTTTTCTGGAACAAATTTTGTGGTAGACTTGAAAAACTTAATTAGCTTTTTATTTTTTAGAAGCAGTTTTAGGTTCATAGCAAAAACGGAATGGAAAGTACCGAGAGTTCCCATACTCCTGTCCCCATACCTGCACAGCCTCTTCCTCTATGGCTGTCCCCCACCACGGTGGCACATTTGTCACAACTGATGAACCTACATTGACACATCATCACCCTAAGTCCAGAGTTCACATTAGGGCTCACTCTTGGTGGTGTACATTCTGTGGGTTTGGACAAATGTAGAACGACGTGTATCTGCCGTGATAGTACCACGCGGAATAGTTTCATGGCCCTAAAAATCCTCTCGGCTCTATTCATCCCTCCCTAACTCTTGTGATAAAAATATGATCAGAATGATTTCAATCTTTTGTTAATTCCAACTGTAAAATAAATTTTAACATGTTCAATTTGAACTACACTCAGTTATATTTTGTGTAAGTTACTTTTACAGGTAACAATCGATTAAAAATTAATCTGTATTTATTTTTCAGGTTATTTATATGAAAATTGTGAGGAACCTTCTGTTGGATATTCCAGGCTTCTTCTAGGGACAGAGAGTAGCCAGGTGAAAATGGAGAAGTCAGACTGTCCCTTCTCAGACCCTACTGTGGCTCTCTTCACTCTGAACAAAAGCTGGTCTCGGACTTCCCTGGTGGCGCAGTGGTTAAGAATCTGCCTGCCAATGCAGGGGACACGGGTTCGAGCCCTGGTCTGGGAAGATCCCACATGCTGTGTGGAGCAACTAAGCCCATGTGCCACAATTACTGAGCCTGCGCTCTAGAGCCCGCGAACCACAACTACTAAGCCCAGGTGACACAACTACTAAAGCCCGCGCGCCTAGAGCCCGTGCTCTGCGACAAGAGAAGCCACCGCAATGAGAAGCCCGCGTACTGCAACGAAGAGTAGTTGCCGCTCGCCACAGCTAGAGAAAGCCCACATGCAGCAACAAATACCCAATGCAGCCAAAAATAAATAAATAAATAAGTAAACAAAAAACCAAAAAAAAACCCCCAAAATGGCCTGGTCTCTATCCCAGCAACTCAGAGAGCTTCAGTCTCTGGTCAAGGTCACGGAGCTTATGTTGAGGACAGAATCAGGACCCAAACCCAGCCAGCCTGGCTCCAAAGCTGATGCTCTTTCATTGAGCCCCTGCCTTGTCCTGCAACTGTCCCAGGTGATGACAAGGTTTTGTAGAGTCCCTCGGTGGAGGGTGTCCATCAGGTTACAATGAAAGATCCTGGATCAGATCAGACCAACCCTGGGTTGGGAGACTGGGGAGGGTAATGAAAGCCGGTTGGAAGCAGGATATTGCCTTCTAGACCCAGTACTCCAATCAACCTTGGGTATGACCTTATGCAAGCCATTTACCTTCTCTGGCTCCTGGTTTTCTTATTTGTAGGATTCATTCATTCAACAAATATTTGTTGGACACATATGACATGCTAGATGCCAGACAGTGTCATAGGTTCCAAGCATACAGCCACAAATAAAACAAAGTTCCTGACCCCATGGAGTTGACTCTGAACTAGATGGTCTCTAAACCCTCTGAACTCCATGGTGCTCTGCGGGAGTGGGGGGGGGGGGCATTTTGTAGGGATACAGAATCAGTTCAAAGGCAGTTCTTATCCGAGAGTAGTTGATCATCGGGCAGGGGAAGACAGGCTGCCCGCTGCAAAACAATCAGAGACACAAATTCCCTCTAATGACAGCAAGGACCTGCATGATTTGGCTCCTCTCGTCCTCTCTGGCAACCTCGCAGGCCAGTTTTCCTTCAACTCACCAACCGAATAGGCTGGATGCCCCAGAAGCAGGCTCAGAGGTTAGTAATTTGAGTGCAAGCAGTTGACTTGGGAGGTGACCCTAGAAAGCCATGGTCGTAGAGTGGGGCAGTAAGGCAGGGAAGGAAAGGAAAGGAAGCCAAGTGTGTCCCATTACAGCAGGCTATTGCTGAGAGCAATTGGAACCCAGTCCTGACGGAGAATTCGAGGGGTAAACGCTAGGGCATTTACCCATCAGCTCCTACTGAGCATTGGCTGAGGGTTGCTCCTAGGGGCATTAACTTCCTGGCATTTCCGGTCTGTTCAAGGCACCATCCAACAGAGAGCCCTCAGGCAGAGACTCTTGGGGGCTTTCAGTAGGGCACTGTGTGTGCCGATATGGAATATGGGGGGGGGGGCTGCTATAAGGCCTCAGGGCCTTTGCACTTACTGTTCCTTTGATTGGAGCAAACTTTTCCCCAGCTCTTTGAAGAATTGGCACCTTATCCTTCAGCTCTCAGCCCAGCGTCTTTTCCTCTGACAGATCCTCTGTGAATTAGCACCCCGCCATCCCGGGACTCTCCATCATATCTTCTCGTTTGTTTCTTCCATAGCGCATGTCACAATCAGAAATTAGCTTCTGTGTTTGTTTGTGGCACTTCTGTATCTCTAGTGCCTAGAGAAGCATCTGGCTCATAGTTGCACTTCCAGAACGATTTTCTGCACACACATGTGCCATGTCATCCACACCCAGCTAAATACCAACATGCCTTCCACTCCCACTCCCAGACTTGCGACCAGAGAATGGAGTAAAGATTGAGTTTGGGTTACGGGGACACGAAGACACTGCTCAGGTTTTCATGTACATTGGCTAGACGTCTGCTCATCAGAAAAGTCTGAAGCCTGTATTGTGCTTTGGGAGAACGACGGTAGTAACACTCCAGCGGTGTAAGGGAGACAATGACCGATACTGATGAAAACAGTGGAGTCTGCAAGTTCCCCGAATGATTGGATATTTTTGCTTCTGATGTAAAGTACGGATCCCTTCTAACAGCCTACTTGTAGGTATTAAATGGACAAGAGCCCAGTGAATGTCCTTCAAGATAAATTTCATGTCATCTTTTCTTGTTCAAAGAGGTTTATTCCATCCCTTCGAAAATCTGTAGGGTATCCTGCTTCCGTTTTTTAAAAATTATATTTAGTTTGCTTTGAAGATGAGTAAAACTGAGATGCTATTTTGTTCCTTTCCTACTTTGCAGCATCCAGAAATTCCTTTGCTATTAGTACTCTAGAGAAACAGATTTCTTTGATTTTTTTTTTTCAGTTTAGAAGATCAAAAGCTGCCAGAAATTGTTTCAGAAGAAAAATAAATCTCTGTGAAGTTGGATTTGAAATTCTGAGAGGCCAGCGCCTGTGTCCACTGTGTCAGGAGCCATGAGATGAGAGTGGCTCTAACTGTGGCATCTGCCCCCTTGTGCCTCTCCGCCTCTCCTAGGGAAGCCCCGCCTTAGCATCCACCT